GGCTCTGTGTGTGTGTGGAACGAGCCATTTTGTGTGCGTGCGTGAGCGAGAGAGATAGCGCACCGGTACCGGAGATCGTTGTTGTTAGCTTCTGGTGCTAGCGAGCTACGCTAACGGGTATAAGGAGCCAACAACAAGGTGGAGGAGAGTCCTAACTTTAGTCTAAGTTATCTCAGTGGTTCTCAAACGGTTTGGTCACGATTAATGTAAACAAATATTTCCGAGGCACACCTTCATATGATCATTATAGGTATACAAAAATAAGAGAATAAATGAAAAACAGGTATGAAATACTATATAACAGTAAAACAAGAATACAGTTTAAAAGGGGAGTGATTTGTAAAATATCCATAAAGAAAAAGTAAATCTGTTTACAGTTCTGTTTCAAATGGGTGTTGAGAGATGTACCCATAGATCTCTTCATTTTGCTCTCAAAGTGCACCAGATTGATGCATTTAACTTCAATATTAAAAGAAAAATCTTCCCAGGGGAGCATGTCCCCGGACCCCCCTAGAGGAGTTTAGGTCCACTCCCCACTTATAAAAATAGCACTTTATCCCTGCTTACACTTTGAGATGAGCTGATTATCGAGCCTTCATTGTAACAGTCGCGGGTGTACTGTGTATGTGCGTGTGGGGAATGTTGCAGTACAAAATTCCAATGTAGCGACCGGTACCTTAATGGGAAACCTTAAATGTTTGAGCACCCGAAACGTCAAGCTACCCCACAGCACCCCCAAAAGAAAATCTCTGGCGCCACCACTGAGCCTGCAACCCCGTTTTGAAGAAATGTGCAGTGCAAACAGGCTCATTGCAGCCACTAATGCTGTGATAAGACACACTTTTTGACCAAATATCAGCATTTTCTTTCTTTTCATTTTTTTGCACGGATTGCAAAGTGGCTAAGTATTATCCTTTGTTCTAGCAAAGGGATTGCACAATTGTATTATGTTTAGTTTTTTCGAGCACACAGACTTATGGAGCATTGTTTTATTATCACTGTTCTAGCAAAGTGATTTTTTCACGTTCATATTGATGTATTTTAATAAATGTTAACTTGGCCCATTACGTGACTATTTGTGTTGGGGGGGGCCCGACTTTTTTTTTTTCTCCAAACAGAAAAACTTTGAGAACCACTGCACTACGGAAACATTGCAAGACTTTTACATGTTACCATTAAAAAAAAGAAAATGATGAATTTGACTGAAAACAGAGGCAATATTGTCTGTACTGTAGGTCTATCCAGATCAGGTATTGTTCTGTATAAGTGCTTTTACATTTTAACTATGGTGCATATAAAGCAGGGTTAAGGGAAAGAAAAACGAAGCAGTTCCAAGAAACACACACCATAGAAATGTATATGCTAAAAAGACAAATTACTTTGAACAAGTTTGTGTTTAAATAATTGATTATGTATGTGTATTTTTTCCTGAATAGGCATGCTCTGTGCTATGCCAACTCCTTGCTTTTTTCTCCCTTTTATTCTGCAAGCTTTCTTGTGTCGGGCTGTGTGGTGAGGAATGGCTCGCTGCTGTGGCTGCGGTGCTTTACAAGATTAAAGTGTGCTTTGCTGTGAGGAATGAGAGTCTCGGATTGAGCCCAGGCACTGATAATCACCACACGATTTATTGCCCATTATTTACCCTTCTACAAAGCACACAAACATAAACCATACACACATAAGCTGACACAAACACACATACACAGAAGGGCTATCTGTTAATACAGAAGCAACCTTTATCAGTGTTGCTTTTTAGCTTACACAGTGAAGCAGCGCTCAGTGTTTGTGCCAGAAAGCAACCACAACAACTTATCCCAAGGTTGCACAATGCTAACAATAATTCTGATGAAATTATACTTCATCAGTACGTGTGTGTTTTTATTTCATGGAGGAAAAATATTTTCTTTTGCAACGAATAGCAAAACACTTTTTCCTTCAGGGTCCCTGTGACAGCTACTGTTGCTTGGAAACAGGTTGTGAATTGCAATATGGGGAAATGCATTTAATGAATTTACTGTATGTCAGACCACAAGCAAGACATGAAATAGCTAGCTAATGCACCCTGTGGTCCTTACGCCTTACTTTCAACCACTAGGTAGACCCTCCAGAAAAACGCGGGTAAAAATCCTTGATTATGCGGGCTAAATTCCTTGATTATGTGATTAAACATGCGAGGTTTTTATGTGATTTTATGCGGTGAAATTGTGGGAAGTTGCAAAATATGCGGAAAGTTGCGAAATATGCTAAATATGCGGGGGAAAAGAATTAAAAAAAATTTAAATATTGGGCTGTCTTATTTATTCTCTCACAGACAACCTGCCACTAACGTTAAACCCCTTTACTATTCAATTAAACACATTCAATGTTTATTTATTGTAAAAGCAATTGGGCTATTTTAATCTCTCACACACACCCCCCCACACACACATTTTTAAAACGACCGGTTACGGCTACAAATGAAGTAAATGAAAAACAAAAAACAAAAGTAAGGAAATACGATGAGGAGTATCTCCAATACGGATTTATTGAAGTGGAAGGGAAACCGAAATGTCTGAAATCCCTGCGGTGTCTTGCCAATGAGGCGATGAAGCCTGCCAAATTGAAGAGGCACCTCGAGACCAAGTATCCAGATTATGTAAAAAAAGACCGGGCTTTTTTTGAGAGGAAAGGCGAGGACTACCGCAAGCAACAACAACGGATGGTTACCATCCGTTGTTGTTGCTTGCGGTAGTCCTCGCCTTTCCTCTCAAAAAAAGCCCGGTCTTTTTTTACATAATCTGGATACTTGGTCTCGAGGTGCCTCNGAGAAAACACCAAGATGAAAAAATCTAATCCATCTCATTTACCGACGAACATTTCTACTAAAGACCGGGCAAAAAGTTGGGGGAAACTATTCTGCACCCCGTGCAACTGTGTGTTGGAGCAAGAGAACATCGACGTGACGACCCACTTTGATTCATTCAAACATTCGAAAATGCTTTCTGCTGCTGCGGACAAGAAAGCCAAACAACTCACATTCACCGAGGCATCAACCTCCAAAACCCTTTCGAGGGCTACAAGAAACGAAGTGAGTAGTCCTACAAGATTGAAGCTGGCAGATAACGAACGAGTAAATGAAAACAGAATGAGGCGGAGAAGTGAGTGTGTGTGTGGGGTGGGGGGGGGTGTGTGAGTAA